TGACCACTAGGGTGTGCACATGGTTCCGGCTAGTATTATTACAGCCGGCAGACACAGTTTACGTCCAGTTTATACTGTTGTCGAGCAGTTACAGATAGAGGCGGATATGCATGCATTTGATCATGATGATGCAATTATTGTAAATGTTTACTTTAGTATGGGTTTCTGCAAAGTACAGTGTTTTTAGTACTCACGCTCCCACTATTATGATTCTTTTCAGGAGACAGGGTCGGTCCGGAGGAGTGAGTGGAGCTGGTGGTCGCCAGTCCAGTACATGTAAATATGTATATATTTTTGCAGACTGTTGATATGTATATATTTGCCACGTTTTACTTCCGCTGACGTTTTCAGACTTTCAAACTAGCGTGTAAATTTTCAGACGACGATCCGAGCTTTCGGGTCTAGTTTTATACAGTATCACACGCTTGTTTTATAATGATAATCCGTTTTTTTTAAATAGGTTTATAGTTAACGGATTTTTATAAAAGAAACATTTTGTGTAGCATCCCGAGATATGTTTCGCAAAATAAAACGTAAACTTTAGAAAAGGATTTGCGAAAATCGCATTCTGATTTTAGTAAACTAGCGGGGTGTTACAAATTGGTATCAGAGCACGTTTTTGTGTATCTGAATACTTTTAAGTCAACAATTTTCAGAAAAGACCCGACCACGCTACGCTCACGCCTCGCCGACTATCAGGTAAGTGCTGAGTTTCAGTTTATATATATATTTAAATGAATACTTAAGTCTATGCTCAGTAGAGGGTACCAGATTATTGACCCTAGAAACCAGTAAGATGCTCGAGTATTTTCAGAACTTAGTCGATTGTCCTAGTCCTTTGATAGTTCGACTTTAATATTCTCGGGTTATTTAGCGACTCGTCAAGAGATCTGTGTATTTAAGTAATCAGTCAGTTAATCTCTTATGTTGTTTAATCATGTTAAATATTTCAATGTTCAGATGCCTCCTCGTAGAGAGCCAGATCACCAGGAACTCCCACAGGCGACAGTGGTCGCTTTGTTCCGCGACTACCATCTAGAAAAGTTTTCCGGCCAAGGAGATCCTCGTGTAGCAGATGAATGGGTTCAGGTTCTCGAGATTATTTTCGAGGTCATGAACTGCCCTGATCGTTATCGCATGTTATGTGCCCAGATCCAGCTGACCGGTGATGCCAGACTCTGGTGGCAAGCCTATTGGAGTATGCGTCCCGGTGAAAAAGACGGTTGTACGTGGGACCAGTTCAAGGAGTTGATCCGAGAAAAATATTATCCCTCGTATTACCGAGCAGCCATGGAGCGCCAGTTCTTGGCACTCACCCAGGGTACTCGTACTGTCGACGAGTACGAAAGAGAGTTCACCCGTCTCGGAGCCTTTGTACCTGATCTTGTGGGTACGGAGGCGAAGAGAGCCCACCGTTTCACTGACGGACTTCGCCCAGCAGTCCGCCACAACATCGTAGGCCACGGCGTCCAGACCTACGCTCGTGCAGTTGCCATTGCACAGGAAGTCGATGCCAGTATCCGACGTGAAGCCCTCCAGACACCAGCCCAGCCAGTTGCTCAATCACCAGCCCAGCCCAAAGTTGCCCAACCGTCAAAGAACCAGAAGAAGAGGAAGTACAAAAACACTCTTGATGACCGGAGGACCCGTCCCAGACAATATCCAGAATGCCCAACCTGCGGGAAACACCACCGTGGAGAATGCCTCGTGGGCCAGAATGTTTGTTTCTTTTGCCGCAAGCCAGGTCACTTCAGCAACAACTGTCCAGAACGACTGCAACAACAACCGCAACAACGTCAACCGCCACAGCAACCTCAACAACAACAGCCCAGGCAGCAACCACCACGACCACAGCAACAACAACGCGGCAGACAGCAGGCTCGCGTTTTTGCAGTTGACCAGAGGGAGGCCGACCAGCACCCAGTTACCATGTCCGGGATGATTATTCTTAATGATGTGCCTGTCTATGCCTTATTTGATACTGGAGCGACCCATTCTTTTATATCACGTCGATGTCTCGAAGCTATTGGGGTTCGTTCCACTACCGCTGTCGATCCTCTCAAGGTGAGTTTAGCCTCGGGAAGAAAGATAGTGACTGACGCTAGAGCCACCGATCTCAGCCTTTCCATCAGCGGCCGTATTCTAATTACTGATACTTATGTTATCGAGATGAGGGATTTTGACCTCATACTCGGTATGGATTGGCTAACTCGATTTCACGCAGATATTCGATGTTACGACCGGGAGATTACTCTTTATCTTCCGGAAGATGATCAGATCACTTATTACGGCTCCAGGACTCGTACTCTGCCACATGTTATTTCTATCGCGAAAGCCAGAAAGATTCTTCGACGGGGTGATTGTCAGGGTTATCTTGTAAGCCTCGTTGGAGATGAGCCAAAGACACGTTCACCTCATGATATTCCTATCGTTCGTGAGTTTATGGACGTGTTTCCAGACCAGCTTCTCGGAGGTCCACCTAGCCGACAGGTGGAATTTTCTATTGATCTTATCCCTGGAGCAGGACCCGTTTCAAAGGCACCGTACCGAATGGCGCCTAAAGAATTGCAGGAATTAAAGACCCAAATCCAAGAATTGCTGAATCTCATTTTTATACGACCGAGCGTTTCTCCTTGGGGAGCACTAGTCCTTTTTGTCAAGAAGAAGGACGGATCCATGCGTATGTGTATCGACTACCGGGATCTTAACCGGTTGATGATCAAGAATAAATATCCGCTTCCCAGGATTGATGATTTATTTGATCAGTTGAGGGGTGCCTGCGTGTTTTCTAAGATCGATTTGCATTCAGGCTACCATCAACTGAAAATCAAGGAGTCAGACATACCCAAGACAGCTTTTCGTACGAGATACGGTCACTTCGAGTTTGTGGTTATGCCGTTTGGCCTCAGTAATGCCCCGACAGTATTCATGGACTTGATGAACCGTGTATTTCATCCTTTTCTCGACCAGTTTGTTATTGTCTTCATCGATGATATTCTTATTTATTCCAAGAGCCAGAATGAGCACGAGGAGCACCTGAGGGCCGTTCTTTCGACCCTTAGATGCGAGTAGTTATATGCAAAGTTCTCCAAGTGCGAATTTTGGCTTCAGCGAGTGGCTTTTCTTGGCCACATTATTACTTCAGCAGGTATTGAAGTCGATCCTTCCAAAATTTCTGCAGTCCAGAATTGGTCAGCACCAAAGAATCCATCCGAGGTTCGTAGTTTCCTCGGTCTTGCAGGTTATTATCGCAGATTTATCGAGGGGTTCTCGAAGATTGCACTCCCTTTGTCTCAGTTGACAAGGAAGTCGGTAAAGTTCGAGTGGTCAGACCGTTGTGAGTCGAGTTTTCAGGAGCTGAAAAGGAGGCTTACGACGGCACCAGTGTTGACTATACCAGATCCTTCTCGGAGCTTCACCATCTATAGTGATGCTTCGAGGCAGGGTTTGGGATGTGTACTTATGCAAGATGGCCAGGTCGTTGCTTATGCGTCACGCCAGCTTAAAATACATAAACAGAACTATCCGACGCACGACTTGGAATTAGCTGCAGTTGTTCATGCCCTTAAGATTTGGCGACACTATCTATACGGCGGTCAATGCGAAATCTTTACCGATCATAAGAGCTTACAGTATATCTTTACTCAGAAGGAGCTCAACATGAGACAGCGCCGTTGGTTAGAGCTCGTCACGGATTACGATTGTACGATCCAGTACCATCCGGGAAAGGCGAATGTTGTTGCTTATGCCCTAAGCCGCAAGGTGAAGGGTGACTTGATATACGTTGTTACTCAGCAGAGTCAGTTGATTCATGAGTTCGCCTGCATGCAGATCCAGCTGGTTGATGCACTTCCTACAGCCAGTTTGGGGAGTGTGAATTCCATCCAGGTTCAGCCGACGCTGAGGGAGAGAATCCGGCAAGAGCAGACTTCAGATGAGTTTATTCGTACGATTGATGCCAAGGTTCGTGCTGGAGGCGTCGAGGGTTTTTACCGAGGCACTGATGGGGCCTTGGAATTTCGTGGCAGGATTGTGGTGCCTAAAGTCGAAGCATTGAGAAAGGAGATTTTATCTGAGGCTCATACCGCACCCTATCTAGCCCATCCAGGAAGTACAAAGATATACCTTGACCTGAAAGGGTCGTTTTGGTGGAAAGGATTGAAGAAAGACATGGCCGACTTTGTAAGAAAATGTTTAACCTGTCAGCAAGTCAAGGCCGAGCATAAGAGTCCCATAGGCCTTTTACGACCACTGTCGATTCCAAGGTGGAAGTGGGAGGAAGTTGCGATGGATTTCGTGACTGGGTTACCAAGGTCGTCCGAACATCACGACGCTATCTGGGTCGTGGTCGACAGATTGACTAAGGTCTCCCACTTCTTGCCAGTATCGATGAGTATGTCTTTGGATCAGTTGGCTGAGATTTATGTCCGTGGGATCGTTCGACTCCATGGAGTACCTGTTACTGTTGTGTCAGACAGAGAC